GATGGTTAAGTATTAGGGCAATTGGTGATGTATCTTTCTTAATTACTATCGCTGACTTTATGCAGTAATGATTAGGTGCATTACCTTGTCTTACTTTATTTTCTCGTCATATTATTTTAGGACTAAGGAGTATTAACTTGTTTATTCTCTTTGCTGCTTATAACTAGAGCGTAATAAGCTTACCATTCTGACTAAATGTATTACCTTATATTTTGCATTATTTTGCAGTAGATAGTAAAATAAGTCTATTGTTTCTGTTGGTATCTGAGTCCTTTCTGTCAATCCCGTCAACTGGCAAAACAGAAGCCATATGGAAAATTACAAATTGCCAGTAGCAGCAAGGTCTCTCTACAGGACTGCTGAATCTAATATTTTGTTTGTAGTTCTGCTCAGGAATCGGCCTAACGAAGGAAGAAGGTAGACCCTATCTATGACTAACAGGCTTGAGCCTGTCTGCTTACATCATTCAGGTACGCTCCTATCTAGGAAAAACAAGGTAATGGAAGAAGGACACTGAAGCCGGCCGAACTACCAGATGCAACTGGTTTTGTGGTCTCAGCTGTAAGGGAAAGGCCTCCTCAGAGCCTTCTCTTCTCCAGGCTGAACCACCCCAACCCTCTCGGATTGTCCTCCCAGCAGAGGTGGTCCATCCTCTGATCGTTTTTGTGGCCTCCTCTGGACCTCCTCCAGCCAGGTCCACGTCTTTCCCGTGCTCAGGACCCCAGAGCCGCCCACAGTACTGCTGCTGGGGTCTCACCACAGCGCAGCAGAGGGGCAAAATCCCCTCCCTCGAGCTGCTTTGGGTGCAGCCCGGGATACGGTTGGCTTTGCAGGTGGCGAGCACCCATTGCTGGCTCATCAGCAGTTCCCGCAGGTCCTCGGCAGGACTGCTCTCAATCCTTTTATCCCCCAGCCTGTAGCGATAGCGGGGCCTGCCCCCACCCAGGCGCAGGACCTCCCGCTTGGCCTTGTTGAGCCTCCGGAGGTTCCCATGGGCCCACTTCTCGAGCTTGTCCCGGTCCCTCTGGATGGCACCGCGTCCCTCAGGCGTGTCAATGGCACCAATCCGCTTGGTGTCATCTGCGAACTTGCTGAGGGTGCACTCGATCCCCCTGTCCATGTCACTGATGAAGATACTAAAGAGTACTGGTCCCAGTACAGACCCCTGAGGGACACCACTCGTCACCAGTCTCCATCCGGACCTTGAACCGTTGACCACTACCCTCTGACTGAGACCATCCAGCCAATTCCTCATCCACCGAACAGTCCTTCTGTCACGTGAAACGGTTAAGGCAGAAAATCTGAGTGATAACCAATTCACCACTATCAATCCGATCGGGTTCGATATATTAAACTGTTCCGATCTGGATACACTAATAGTGGACTGCACCTTCAGTCGGTTTGTGCTCACGAACCAGCACGGCCACTCTTTGGTCGTGTTCAGTGAGAAACCAAAACGACCGGCTACTTAAATGGTGCAGTTGTTTTAAGCGACAGATATAGAGGTTCTTATGATTGCCGGTGATAAATACACTCTCTGCAAAGCACGTGCAAATAAGAGTATATGCAAAGCGCGCAACAAAGTTAGAACAATACAGCCAGGCTATAAAAATGGAAAAGAGACTTTCTAGAAAGGTTTCTAAGTTCTTAAGTCTTACCCAAAGGTGTCCCTATGGGGGGGAAAGAGAGGCTCAGCCCGTCGACTGGTCCCAGAAGTTCACACGGTGGTGTCTTCTCCACCCCTTCCCCTTTCCCGGGCTATTTTTATACTATTTTTTACCTTCAAGGTGGAGTTTGAGTGACTCTAGGCATAAATACATTTATTAGGATTGGAGTAAAATTCTCTTGCCTGACATTTAAAGGTACAGATTACAAAAAATCACAGCGCAGACTCAAAGAGGGGTGGTCGCACCTTGGAGGCGGGTAGCCTTTGGGACGGAGGTGTGGTTTGGTCTTATAATGACCCTGTAATGAGCAAAGTTCGCACAAAGGACAGCACTGCATCAAAATCCGACAGGACGTTGGCTCAGGGTGGCCAGGGTGCAGCTTCTCAGTTCTGTGGTACCACCTTGTTCCTGTACTTGCTGTACCATCCCGGGGAGACACCGTGAGCTCTCCAGCCCGCTTGGCTCCCCGTGGTGCTTTGCAAGCAATGCTGTCCCGGGAATCGCAGATGACGTGGTGGATTCTGTGCATACCAGCTGCAGCTGCATTTTACACTCGACGCTTTTGGATTTTATACCTTTCCTTAATGTGTGAACAAGGCTGTATTGTGGTCATTTTAGGAATTATTCCACAGTAATGCAGGGTGAGCAGTGAGCATATACCGGCTTGCTAGCACCGCAACGACATAGTTGGAATTTTCCATGTCTGCAATTGCCTGTGAGGGTCTTGCAAGTTTGGTAAATAATCTTTTTCTGTATTGTGAATTTTGTGTGCCTGCAATTGCCCGGGGACAGGCTTCTCTGTTGTGAATTGTGGTGCTTGCGAGTGCCCGGGGACAGGCTTTTGTAAGTTTGGTAAATAATCTCTTCTTCTGTATTGCGAATACATGTGAGTGACCGAGACGCGCATTTTATAGGAAGCGAGTGTAGAACCCCAGTCAGCCGTTCTGTTATCCCATGAGGGAAACAGCCAGAGATGGGCAAAGCGAATGATTATGTGAATAACTGTTGGTTACATCCCGATAATAATATTTGTGTACCTGTGCTGGTATTGAGTTGCGTAAGACGTAGTCAGAAAACCCGGGTATATTTTGGTAGCGATATTGAATGTGTTCCATGGAAGTTGTGGGCGGATTGGGATTGGTGGTATAGCGCTCTTGAGAGTGTAAAGGCAGATTGTGGTTGGGAAGGAAGCCTGAAGCACGGTTAGCATGGGGAGTCGGCAAAGTGAAGGAGAGCTTAAGAAAAGTCCACTCGTGTGTGTACCAGCCCCTTGGAAAGATTGAGGTGGACCACCTGGAGGGTTGGCAAAAAGAAGACTCTCATAAAATACTGTGAATCAGTGGTGGCCACTATATCAACTGGAAGATGGGGAAAGGTGGCCTTTTAAGGGGACGTCGGATTATAATACTCTTGATGCAACTGATGTTATTTTTAAGATGAGGAAAGAAATGGGATGAAGTAGGATATGCAGAGATGTTCTTTTCTCTAAGAAATCACCCGGAGCAGCAGAGAGATTGTGGAATAAATATGCCACCCCAAGACTCCTTGGTGCTTGCCTTGGAAAAGGACAGGAAGAAGGAACAAGGTCCTATTCCTCGGTGGTGTTCAATCTGCAGTATAGCTCAGCCGTGTCAAAAACATCAGAGGAGAGAGGAAGAGCAAGAGGTTGAAAAGGAGTTAGAGGACTGCGTATGTCCCGGAGGGAGAAGGAGAGAAGCAGGAGGGGAAGGAGGCAACAGACACGAAAGAGAAGAAATAAAGGAGTTGGGGACAAGCAAAAATTTCTCTCCTATTACCCACAAAACTCGCAGTAAAATGGGACCGATAATTCAGGCCCTTTTAAGACAAGCTGTAGGGCCTGAAGAGCCCATTAAAGTTCCTTTCTCCATGGGGGATTTAGGTACCTGGAAAGCGATACTTAAAGGATAGACAGATGATCCCTCGGGGGTAGCTAAAAGATTGTAAAAAAATAATTAAAAAAAAAAAAAAAAAAATCAAGATCCCGATTGGAAAGATATCGATTTAATGCTGGATGCATTGACAGAGACAGAGAAACAGCTTGTCTTAAAGACGGCAAGAACCCAGGTAGAGGCACAAATGACGGCTGGGGTCTTGCCGGGAGGGTGGACGCCTGTATTCCCCTCACTGAGCCTACATGGAACCCTGCTGATGATGCAGAATATAGGCTGTTGAAGCAATATCAAGGATGGATCAAATCTGGATCGGAAGGTGCAATACCAAAAGCTGTAAATTGGTCAGCCCTGTGTGCTATTAAGCAGGGCCTAACTGAAACCGAGTTTTGAGATAAACTGAGATCTGCGATGCGTAAATATACTACGTTAGATCCTTCACCTGATATTGGACAACAACAGCTTGAATCGTTATTTTGGGGGCAATCATCTGAAGACAGAAGGAAATTGCAAAAGTTGAAGGAACCAGAGATAAGAGATTTGGAGAAGTCAGTTGAAGCAGCATGGAGGGTATACAGGAAAAGGGAAAATAGTGACCGAAGGAAACGTGGACGAACAATCGCCACTGCCACTGTCACTGCTTTGAATCAACAGAAATTCTCTGTGATTTTACCTGTCCGTTGGAGCACTCGCGGTGGAGCGATCCCCAGTGCTGCTAATAAAGAATACCTGCTTAACAGTTAAAACGGATGCTAACTGCTGAGTCAACGTCTGTGTTTCACCACGAGTGTTCCACAAAACTGGAGAAACCGCAGGCAATCTCAAATGAGGCCGAAGCTTCTGGACAGCTTAATCGGCAAGCAAAAACCCTCCTGGAACAGCACGAAAATTTGGTACAATTTCCACAGGAGGACAGAAGGCTTAAGGGAAAGAGAGAAATGAGAACTAAAAGGCAGAGCCTCTAATCAGGACCCACCAAAACGTAACGTGTGAATGCAACAGTAGTTTGAAAAGCTCGTCAGAGGAAATAATATCAAGGATCACCTCTCTACTGCGTGCCAGGAGACGCTTTCAAGTACCACCAACCTAGCCAAACACATCACTCAGAATGTCCAATGCCTTTGTTTTTTTCAGATGAGAGTCCCGATCGCCACGTCCGCAAACAAGAACTGCAGCAACTGGAGAATGCAAACGACATCAACAAAGATCACTTTGAAAATGCAGCCACCCTCCCCCGCATTGCAGCACTAATGCAAACACTAGCATTAGTGAAAATTTAGATTTCACAGATTTGCTGACAGAATAAATGACAGCACTATCTCCTGACGTTCAGCCTTCCTTTCCCAGCCATACGTGCTGCCTATATATTCTGTCAAACAACAGAAAGCCACATTGAAAGGTAAACAGAATGAGAGGCAAGTAGTACATATGGTCTGCTGCACGATTTATTGTCCCACCACAAATTAGTAACTGTTGGGAAGCTGGCACTAAAAGAGTAGCCTCTCCCTCTTCATGGGGGGTGAAAGGGCTGCCCCCCGAAGCTGTGGGTGGGGGGCTCTGTCTCCCCACCTTCAACCCCTACCCTGGCGGGGCCGCCTCCAGCCCTTGGCAGAGGGCCGGACCAGCGGGCTCGGGAGTTAGGGGTGCCTTTTCAGATGGGGCCTGGGCTGGGGGAACCAGGGGCAGTGGGGGCCATGGAGGGTGGACGTGCCGGTGTTTCAGGCGGGGGCTGCGGCTGCTGGTGTTGGTCCCAGCTGTCAGGGATGCCGGGGTGGCTGGTGGGGCTGACCGGGCGCAAGGGGTACCCGCCGGTTTCCAGCCGGTGTCCCCAAGGTGCAGGGGCATGTCTGTGGAGAGAGGAGGACGCTGAGGCACTCGGCTGCAGGATGGACACAGGGACTCCTCTCCAGAGCACGGCCCACGAGCAGCCATGCAAGGGAGCAGTGGGGGGAAAATCACTGACTCTTTGCTCTTACTCCGCTGCTTGCATCGCCTCCCTTGCTGAGGCAGAGGCGGGCAGTGAGCCACTGCTTCCTCCTGGAAACGCCGACTCCTGCACAGCCACTGCGTCGGTCTCTTGAAAAAGAAAATGGGACAGCTGGGTCAGGTGGAACCGTTCCCCATCAGGGCGGTGGCACCTCCAGGAGGCAACGCTTCTCAAAGACATCGGTAAGGTTTAGATAAATAAATCTGCCTGCCGACATCTGCACAAGCCAGCTGTGAGCCGTGATGGTAAAACGGGGGCACCAGCTGCCCTTGGCACTTGGCTTGAGCCACAACTGGCAGCAGAGGCTCTGCCCCATCTCTGTGGCTCGCCAGCGCCTGCAAGGCGTGAGACCCAGCATCGCTGCTGCGAGGCTCTGCTCGACCCCTGCCTGCTGGGCAGGCGACGGCGTGTCTGGACACGGATCTAAGAGCTCCAGTTGACGAATCTCACGGCTAAGGCAGAGCGAAGTATACCCACCCTGTGTTCTCTCCAGCTCCTCTAGTATTTGCTAAATGACTTCTGATGGCTCCCGGAGTTTTTTCCTCCTTCAGCTCTTGGAGGAGCTTAACAGAACGTATTTGGTACGATTCCACATGAATAAATTGCAGAAAACCAGTGCACAGCCTGTGAGGTGAGCAGAGGACAGAATACTCACCCCTGGGATGCCAGCCAGACTCTTGCGCCGGATCCAGCCGAGGAGCTGGAAAAGTCCTCCCGTCGGGAACACCTGTAATTATTAATCACCCAGAGAAGCTCCCGTCATCTACACTGGCAGACGCGAATCGCAGGAGCGGTGAGGGGGTCACGCAAGGAGAGGGCACCCACGGGCAGGTCTCCGTCCTCCCACCTGCAGAGGCGCCCGGCCGGCTGACCTTTGGGCTGTGAGTGGGCAGCTCTGAAGGGGAGGGAAAAGCCAGGACGTACCCGTGCCATCTCCCGCAGTCGCCGACCCGGAACCCAGCTGCAAAGCTGCATCACCTTCTGCAAAGAAGCACAGGACAGAACGGCTCCGGTGACACAGTCCAGGATACTTCCTCAGATCGGAGTGGCAGCTCAGGAGCGCCGGGCAAAGACGGGATTACTCCACGGCACTCCTCTCTCCCCTCCGCTCAGGAGCTTGGTGCAAAGAGTTACCGTGTGCCTGCAGTGGCACCACGCTGGGACAAAATGAACCACGCGTGGAGCCGCTGGGAGAAAGGACTCCCTGGAGCTCGCACCAGCTCTGAAGTCAGCCCAAGAAGCCCACTGGCTTGGCAGCTGGCACCGGGAGGGAGCAGCTCAGGCTCCCAGGGGCCGGCAAAGAGCTTCGCAAGGGAAAGCGCCCTGGGGCACGGCACTCAGCCCGACCCTTTCCCTCTCTGCTCTTCTGCACGTCTGCGCGTCGGCCGCATGAACGAGCAACTTGCATTTCACACGGAAAGAAAAAATTAAAAGGTAGATGCTCTTTGCTGCCTCTGAATTACCCGTGAGGTTGCTCTCAGGCTGGAGGACAGGAATACTGGACATAGACATTGGGAGGCCATGGACACTGAGGGGGTCTTCAGGAAATCTGCACGTGAATAAACTCTTGCCAAGTTGTCAGTGTTTACTCTTTCAACAAAATGGACGTTGAGAACTTACCTCCAGGATGGCCCAAAGATTCCCAACCAACATTGAGGTGAGAAGCCTCATAACCATTGCCAGCAGCCTCATCTAGAAGCAGACACAGATGTGAAACATTTCCATTGCATGTTGGGATCCCAGCCTGCCTTAGGGAACTGCAGGCACTGGAAAGGGGCCCCTCGTAACGACAGGGGGGCCCGACAGCGTTGGAGGCTGTCAAAGCTGCAGAGGGGCCTGCTGACCTCTTGGGTGGTGCGTGGCACCTCTCCAAACAACATTATGAGGTTCTTCGGGAAAGCTGCACGTGAATAAGCAGACGCTGTGAAAAGAGGTTGCAACAGAACTTCAAACGCTTCTTTTGACATGGCAGGATTCACATGGAAATGGTGGATAAATGTGAACGCCCCAATTGCGAGCAAACCTTCAGCTGTCACTTTTACACTAGTGTCTCGACTCTTAGACGAGGAACAGATTTAGATTCTCGCGTTCCTATCTGTCCTGAAGAAACAGAGAGGAAGGTGAGCAGCACTACTGGGCGCTATTTTGCAAGACCAAAGACTCTTCCTAGGATAGTACATGTCAAGTCACATAGTTTCAATGTCCCTTGATCTGCTTTTAAAATAATCAGCGCTATCGAAAACGGCCTGCTAAGCCACAGCTACGCGCAGTCCAGTAAAAGAGATGGGCTGGCATTTCTTTTCAAACACAAGATGTGAGTTGGGCAGAAAGTCATAAAACAATTCACTTTCCAAAGAAAAAACTGTCACGTCAACAACTGGCTGGTGCCTGACTGGACATACCGTGGAACAATTGTTCTCTAAGCCACAACCAAAGCCACCTCCCAATTACGGGTATAACGAGCAACAGCCACCCATGAACCAGCGCGCATCTGGCAAAGTCTCAGGCGCAAAAGAACACCGACACTCAGGAAGTATCTCCTGCTTCGAAAACAAAGGTGCCGTCCACAGAATGCTTCATTTGGGGAAAACGCTTCTGGATCCCTCCTCATTTATCTGACGGATGGGATGGTCCGCCTCATGACAGCACTCTGCTCCTCCCGCAAATCCAGCCCTCCAGCAACCCTCCTCACTGCCGGCAGCACCACCTGTAACTTACTAAAAATCGGTCCCTGAATTTACCTCTTTCCACCTTCCTGAACAGGACTCCGGAAAAATAACATTTAATAACTGCTACTTCTCGGAAGCCCTCTCTGCGTGCTAGCGAGATTTATTACGGTACCCAAGCAAAATACAGTGGCAAGGTGGTGTTTTGCTGCTGCACGTGCTGCTGGCACAGCTGTCTCTCTGGGTATTCAGACCCCATCTTGTGACCCACAGTGGGAGTGCAGGGGCTAACAAAGCGCTTCTCGGTTGTACCTGGCAGACACCCGGCAAAAGGTGCTCACCCCAACATGGGCTGTGCTGTAGCGTCTGTATTCATCAGGAACAGAGTCCATTTACACCTGGAAGTAAAAAGGAATTTAGCAGCCGGCCAAATTTATTTCACAACGTTTTACCTGTACAAGGATGAAAACTGCATTGGGCTTCACCTTTCAGCTGTTCAGGCATCACGATTTCGTTTGTTCGACGTGCAAAACCTCTGTCTTGTCCAGACAGGAGTCGGGGCACCGTCTCATCTGTTTGTTGCTCTGATCGCCGAAACCAAGGCGCCGTGTTCCCTTCCCACATTTGAGATAAAAAACGTTAGTTGTGAAGTATTAAGACAGGACACCACACACCTAAGAACTTCAGCATTCAAACTCCCTGAACTTTTACACAACTGTTAAGAACTCAAAGACGTCTCCTTATTTCTAACATTTCTCCAAACAAGAAAACAGAAACTCTGCATTCCTTGCAAACAAAGACTGACGACTCTGTGCATTCCCACATTTTCAAGGTATCTCTAGCCCAGTGACCTTGTGAGAATTGAGAGGCACAGAAAACAGACCTGTGTTTCAAGTTTGCTTCGAAACACAGCACTTCCCTCCCTGAGCATCTACTAGTCCCGAGGACTCCGGTATTGCAGACAGACCAGCAAGCTGAAGGACCACCTCTCCTCCTCTGAAAGACCTTGATGCGCCCTACAGGCCCTGGGCGTCCCCCAGAACATTCAAAAAATCCCACCAGGAATATCACCAGGTCACCGAGGTATACCAAAGCGGCTTCACACGGACAAGAAGCTTTAACAAACTTTAGTTTGCAACCAAATCCAAACAGCCGAAGCCAGTGAGATGACGGGGACAGGGCAGCCAAAACAACGCCCCCATAACAGTTAACTAAGTTCCACGTACCAGCTGGGGACGCTGCTGCTGCACAGCAACACGGAAGAACGACAACGACGGCACGTGAACAGTGATGATACCAAGGTGCGCACCCACTCTCCGAAGGGGAAACCTGCCCCTCAGAGGTGCCCGAAGGGGGCAAGCGCTCACTCAAGCTCACCCCGAGGCACCATTCACTCACCGAGGGGGGCGGGGGGCTGAGGGCACTCAATCCCACCAAGCTCCCTTCGGGGTTGTCCCCGTCCCAAGGGGAGGGCTTCCGAACACTCGCCCGCTGAGCCCTCTGAGGGGAGCTCCCGCGGGGGGCTGCCTCTTCGAGCCCGGCAGGAGCTGAACTCCGGCCCTAGGCGGCCAGCGCTCCTGCACCTCCTCTCGCCCCATGAGGCGTTTCGTTGGCTGAGGGCCTTGTCTGTGGAGCAGCGGTCCCGCCCCCCTCTTCCCGCCACGGCAGGGGCAGAGCCGCGCGCGCTGCTCTGCACCCGGCCCGGGTGCGTCCGTGACAGCAGCCGCGGTGTGCTGCCAGAGGCGCGAAAACGAGGGCGCGGGAGAGCCCGCGCCGCCCTGCGGGAAGCCCTAGCCCCTGCCACGCACCAGACGAGGGATTTCGGTCGAGTAACACCACGCTAACGGAGCGCCTTCCGAGGCGAGACGGCTTCTCGAGCAGAACAGGAGAGGACCCGTCGACTGCGGAGGCTGAGGGGCGACCGCCGGGGCCGCCATCTGGCGACTGCGCCCGAGGCCACCTCGGCAGAAATGGCGGAGGGAGCGGAGACTTTTTCCCCGCTGTCCAGTGAGGGGAGAGCGTCCCAGGTGGAGGCGGTGCCGCACGGCCCCAAACCCAATGGGCGTGAGAGGCGGTGGATGATAGACGGGTGGCCACCTCTGTGGAAAGCCCCGTTAACAAGCGGTTCCGTTAAAAGCGGGCCTAGGAATGCTGCGGAGCGGTGCCTAATCACGAGAGCGCTGGCGTTGCGAGCGCTGGCTGCTCCCCACCGTGTGGGGAAGGCTGGGGGCCGGCTGGAGCCTCAGCCCTTGGCTGTGGTAGGCAGCGAACGCCTTCGTCTTTACTGCTGCTGCTGCTGCTGCTCGGGGAAAGTTAGGCAGCTCCACAGCTGCAGTGTCATCATCTTCTTCACACTTCCTCGAATAAAAGCGCGTGGTGACTGGAAAAATAGCACTTGGAACTTGGCTTTTAACAAGGGAAGTTTAAAGACTTCCTGTAGACTACCACAGCTTGCTAACTGTGTAAAGATTTTCATCTTTACAGGCCAAAAGAGTTGATAAACTTCAGACACAAAGCAATCTTCTGCTTACAGTAACTTTATTGTGTGCCTGGGGGGAGTGAGGGGAACGCCCCCCCAGCCCATGGGGGCTGTGCACGCCAGTCAGAGGAGCCCCCCGTGCCTGGCTCCTGCCTGCCTCCACCGCAAGTGGACACAGTGGGCATATCCACAGCCGCGGCTGGGCGTGGAGATGAGCCAGTGCTCGGTGCCTCGTGGGATTTGGCTATTAGGGCCACATGGACACTTGTGCGCCGACTCTGACCCTCTTCATGGGGGGGTGAAAGGGCTGCCCCCCGAAGCTGTGGGTGGGGGACTCTGTCTTCCCATCCTCAACCCCTACCCTGGCAGGGCCGCGTTCAGCCCTTGTCAGAGGGCTGGACCCATGGCCTCGGGGGACGGGGAGGACGTTTGGGTTGGAGTTTGGTGGAGCTGGGCCCATTTTGAGGCACTGAGGCGTCCAGTGTTGGGCTGGGGGCAGGAGGGGTTGGCGGCGGTGGCGGTGGTGGTGGCAGTGTATCCCGTCCGGAGGGTGGACGTGCCGGTGTTTCAGGCGGGGGCTGCAGCTGCTGTTGTTGGTCCCAGCTGTCAGGGATGCCGGGGTGGCTGGTGGGGCTGACCGGGCGCAAGGGGTACCCGCCGGTTTCCAGCCGGTGTCCCCAAGGTGCAGGGGCATGTCTGTGGAGAGAGGAAGCCGCTGAGGCACTCGGCTGCAGGAGGGACACAGGGACTCCTTTCCAGAGCAAGGCCCACGAGCAGCCATGCAAGGGAGCAGTGGGGGGAAAATCATCGACTTACTCTTTGCTCTTCCTCCGCTGCCGGACGAAGACGTAGCACAGCAGCAGTGCAAGTGGTAGGAAAATCACGATTACCACTGTGCCAATCATGCAGCCCTTCCGCACATCTTGGGGACAGAGAACACTTGCGATGTTCTGGGGACGGGACACAGTGGGGCTTGTCTCGCCGACCGCACCTGGAGATGCAATTGGGGATGTTAGTCTGTCCAATGCACCACTGTAAGCTTGCAGCACGTCTCATATGTCCAGGAAAGTCTCTGTTTCCCACCAGTGCTGGTGCCCGGAGGCACCCTCCCACCCTTTGGGACAGGTTGTCCCCCCAAACAAAACTGAGGCATTCAGAAGGAGCACATGGTGGGGAGCGCATCTGCTCGAGCAGTCGCTGCTTCGAGGGACACAGACAGAAGAAACCGTCCCTGCAGCAGGCAGTGCCACCCCCAACTCTCCCTGCCCACGGGCAGCTCCCACATCACCAGGGGATGGAGTCAGGACTTCTCAAGAGACACCTGAGCCTCCCTCCCCACTTCTGCCTTTTCCCCAGCATGGGCACCGCCTGCAGCTGCTCCCAGAGTTCTGGACTTATCTCCCACTGAAGGACCCCAGGCTCAGTACCTGAGTTTGTTGGAGGAAATTCATGCACTTTGCCACGTTGATATTCCCCAAGCCTTGACAGCACTGCCAAAAAGCAGAGAGGAGAGGTAAAGCCTCCGCATGGCTCAGGCACAGAGGATGCAGGAGGACGGGGAGGTTCCCTCCAAGCCCCTGCCCAGCTGGGGAGTCAGGGCATCTCTCTGGACCTCGGCTCACGGGAGGGATCCCACTCTGTGCTGCTCTTGGGCCTCAAGGGACTCATGGCAAGCTCTGGGATGCAGCTACAGCGGGAGGTGCGTTGGATTAAGAGTTACATTCCCCATCATCTGCGGAACGTGGCCCAGGTGCCGCGAGCCCACAGCACTTTCCCCTTTGGATGCTGACGTGACGTGCAAGAGCGGGACTGGGGGAAGAGCCTGCTGACGCACAGCGATCCCGATGGGTGCCAGCGGCTGACCACGGCACAGCAATTACCTGGCATGCCGGGGGCTTGCATCGCCTCTCTTGCTGAGGCAGAGGCGGGCAGTGAGACACTGCTTCCTCCTGGAAACGCCGACTACGTCGTGAGAACAGAGTCACGGGGCTCACAGCCAAGGATGGGCAATGGCAGTGCGCAGTGCTGACCTGGTGGGATCCCCTTTGCCTGTCCAAGCAGAGAGAAAAGGAGTGGGATAGGTAAGAGTGTAGCAAAGGGAAACAGGAAAT